CTTAACTGAAGGAGATTTGCTTTTTTTTGCTTTCATTTAATGTATGTGTGATAAGACACAGCAACCATTACAGGAGAATGCTCTCCCCCTCCTTCTCCCTCTGTCTCTCTCTCTCTCTGGATCTTCCCTCTCCCTCTCCTTCTCCCTCTCTCTATTGTCTCCCTTTCTCCTCACCCACCCCCTCAAAGCAACTTCTATATTTGATAAGGTTTGGATAAAGCTTCTGCTGTGCTGAAGTTATTGATTGTGTGATATTTTCTGTGTCAGCATCCAGACATAGCCCTTGGCCTGTGGTTATATTGTTTTTAACCACATCATGCCCACTTCATGTGAGTGACACTGCCACCACCTCTGGTCGGGAGAAATAATGGAAAATAACTGATTTAGAGGTATTCTGAAAGTTGAATTAAGGTCTCGTCAAATAACAACTCACTTTGTCATTTTCACTTAAAAACCTTTCAGACCTGTTCTTTGAATGAACATTCAATTCTGTTAAAAGGATGAACTCAGGGTGATGTAAAGGCAGAATCAGGAAAGGGAGATGTCAAAAATAAAGAGGTTGGACTACATTTCCTCTACCATTTTAAATAGACATACTGACACTGGAATAAATTACATTAAACAATAATATATATCCTGTTAAATTCGGTGAATCAATGCACAGAATAAATCTTTATTTTTTGTCACAAAATGTTTTTTATCTGAAGATTCAAAAGTTCCAGCTATTTCCAGTAGCAGCATCTGTTGCTTTGCCAGTTTCCACAGAGATGAGCTCCTGTTGATCTTCACCACATTTGTTCAAGCCCGGAATCTGGTTAAAACATGCAAACAGTCCTGTTGCTGGCTAAGGGGTGCAATCCGCATAGTACCCTTCGAATGATGGTGTTCATTTGCATTTATTTTAATTCAGATGGCATTTGCAATTCAAGAATGGATTATTTTAAAATAATTTGAATTAGAGGAAGAAAATTAGAGGAAGAGAAGATAAAGCATTATAGAAGGAAGAATGCTATGATACATGCATGTTCTTAGAAAACATAATTATATCTACTTTAAAGTTTCTCAATTGAAATTTGCATTTTTATTTTTTTCAACACCATTTTGGGATAACTTTTGCAAAAAGAAGTATTCTCTCAGTTACATCTTAGTTCGTTGTCTAAGCTGCAGATTGGCAATCATAGACATTTCCCTGTATCCAAGTTATAAGTCATTTATATCATTATCCATATATTGCTTGTTAATAAGATCCTGAGGTGAAACCAGATTTTAAAACTATGATATTTGTGGATTAGAAATATTTATTGTGTAACTACATTTCATGAAAGTGTGAAAGGAAAAGCAGAAGAACAAACAAGGGTTAAAGTGCTGGCAAATGTTCTTGGTACAATTAGCACAGTATTCTAAAATATTATAATTAGTTTCAACCATCCAGCTTGCTGCGAGCCTTTTTAATAGTTTCTCCAAGTTTCTACACTTTGTCCCCTCTGCTGTTAGGGATACTGAGGTGGAAAATGTTGAGAAACCCTCAAAGTTGGGAGTATGAATAACGTAACTTTTCCTGTATTTTTACATATTTGAATATTTGACAATATTTAAAAAGAATTATTATTGATATCCAGTGACTTTTATAGTTAATTTTGTACATTACTAATATGGAACAAATGACTAATATGTAAAAGTTCCCCACTTACATTAAGGTATTCTCACTAATTTTCAGGAAGATCAGGAAATGCAGGTGATAACTGTGGAAAAGTAAGAACAGCAGTCATTAATGGGCATTGCCTAAACACCAAACAGGGTTCTGTGCCTTTACTTTCAAACTCTCAGCAGGTTTACAAAAGAGGGGATGTTACCTCTAGTTTATAAAAGAGAAAACGGGCCCGGAGAGCTTTAGGTAATTTTCACAAGCTATTTAGTAGCGGTATTGACAGCCACATTCATAAACTTTGTAATTATATAATGATTTTGCCTCACATATGTTAGTTTGCTGTGAAAAGAAGGAAAGTTAATTTTATATAGTAGAGTAGAATCCCCACCTTCCTTTTCAGTCAAAATCATGCATTAGCATCTCAATAACAATGTTTACAGGTATTGTAATGTGAACAAACAATTGGATGCCTATTTCCACTGTAGATGTAATAGCACCTGAAGTACCTTAATAATTGATGGCCTGTTTCCCCAAAGTTAAAATTGTAGAAGATTTTATTCCCCCTCCAGTTTTTCTCCATTTAGGTGCCTCTAGTTCTTTTCCATGGCTTCTGCTAACCCTATAGGAAGCAACTCAAGGGGATCAGCAATGTGGTATGTTGTGATGAATGGTTAAAGTAGGGGACAGAATTTTGATTTTACATTTTATATTCTTTTTCTAATGTAAAAAAAAAAAAAAAAAAACACCAGAACGAAATGGGCTAAGATGATGATAGTCACCAAATTTTGTTTCAGTATTTATTGTGTTAGAAATAATCAAACAAAATTCATGATCTGAATTTATTTTAACTCAATATATACTGCATTTATATTTATCAAAGGACAAACCTACAAACTTACCTTACATTTCAAAACAGTCAATTATATTGAGTGTGTACTCACTAGGATAATTCGGCTTGCCATCAATTGTCAATAGTCTGAGTTTTTTTTTTTTAATTAAAATAAGGTTATAAGGAAGTACTATCATTTAATAAAACATACATTTATGATCTTTTAAATTAATGTCCTGGACTGAAATTTATATAGAGAATGATACATAGAGAATTTAGAAAAGTGGTTGCTTTTAGGGAAAAATTAAAGGATACTTTAACATTATTTATTTTATTATTTCATATCTTAATGGATAGGAACATTGAATATTTGCTTTTTATTCTAGATATTTTTCTATATCTTTAAATTTCTCAAAATAAAATGAAGTAAATATATCAGGAAATGCATTTTGATCTCTCTGATTAATTGATAATCTGCAAATTTCTCTTATGAAATATTCAGAGACTAGGAAATTATTGGAAAATGCAAAATGCTGCTATATGTGTGTCTACATAACTTACAAATTAATTTTTAAAGTAATTTCATTATCTTCATATATAAATGTTTCTGGGGGCTTTTCCTGACAGAAGATTGATTATAAACACTGATAGTTTGGTGACTGTCGCAGTTTAATCATTACAGAGATAAAGTGATAAATTGTTTGGCATCAGGTTCCTAACTATTAGGAGCATCATTGCAAAGAAAAACAACAAAATAAATAACACACACAGAAATTAGAATGATACTGACATGTTTTCTCTACAGTTTACTAGATTAATATTTGTGGTTTTGATATATACACTTTCAAGAGACTTAACCTCTCTTAGCACTAGATTCCTTATCTTTAAAATGGACATAGGACTATCTTCTTAACAGGACCATATTGGAGATTAGGACAAAAAGAGAGACAGAGCGCCTAACACAGCGCTTGTCATACGATAGGGATTTATTTCCTATATAAGCTTCTTTGAAAACTATCTTGAAAAAGATGGTATATAGTGATAACTAATTCCCTGGTAATATATAAGTGATATTATTCATAAGGCAAGATTTCGGAAGGACTCGGTGAAGGATTTAATTTATCTTCAATGTGGCTTTTTAATTATGCATTTTATCCTAATTCTCTGTACATATTGTATGTGTGATTACTAGTCAGGGAGAAAAAAGGCAGAATATCCCTTTATCTGAACTATGCTAGGCTTAAAAACAATAGAAATTGCTTAGAATGTGATGAGGGAGAATTGAAATGAAAAAAGATTGTCATTACCTATTTAAATGATACTTAATTATTAAAGGGATGATTTTTTAAATTTTTCATCATTTTACATTTTAATAATAGCCTTTAATAGAAATCTGATAGTAAAGGTAGAGGAAAGTGGTGAATTTTGCTACTTACAGAAAATTGTACCTTTTGACTGAGACAGAAACTTGATATATGGTTTTAATTTATTCAAGTACTTCTAGTCTTCACAAAATGAATATTCAGAGGTTGACTGATTTGAAAGGAACTCAATCAAAATAAATGACTAATGAAGAGAACAAAGTTGAGTAAACCAGAGTACCTTGGCACAAATGATATCCAAGCAACATAATATATAAATTACAAAATTTTACATCTGATATACAGCATCCAGTTCCAGATATTCCTAGAGAAAGAATGGAACTTGATATATCACATTGCCCAGATTACTGATTGTAGTATAAGAATTTCTAAAACTTGAGCAAATTTTATTCTGGCCTTATAGGTCCAAAAGGATAGAATCATGACAATGACTTTCTATAATTCAACATAGAAATATTTTCACCTTTTATTCTTTAGCAAATACTTGGGAGAATTATCATTGGTCCTCTTACCTCCTATAGCAAGCTTTCATTGTATGAAGAGAAAAAAGTAAGGTCTCATTTTGTTAAGAGCCAACTATCTATAGAAATTATATGACCCGTTTCATATTTCCATATATGTTATTTTATTTCATGCTCGCAACAATCCTATGAGACAAATGTTGTTTTCCATGCTTTACTCTACAGAAGAGGAAAGTGATACTCAAGTATCTGTCAACTTTACACATTGATAAAATTTGGATTCAAAGTCAGGTTTGTTTTATATATCACATGGCTTCTTAAATGATAGGATATAATTACATAATTTCTCCACTTATCTTCTTATAAGAACACATAATTCTGAAATAATTATGTGCCATTTTTGCTTTTGGTTTATGGTAATAATTATATTATGATACATTAGCTTTCAAACATAAACAGTGTCGGCACTCTGTGGTTTTTTTTTTTTTTTTTTTGGAAGAGAATATATGTATCAAAACTATTAACCTATGGTAAGTCTTTTAATCTGTTCTGTTATTCAGTCTACTCAGATAAATAGTCCAAAACTGATTTAAGAAAGCAAGATGAATTCTTTACATCAAACTGGCTTTACATTTGCTTCCACTATGCAAAATTATTAAGAGTTTTCTTTTTGCTTATAGGGATGACTTGTCAAGCTCGGACTTCGTACACAGAAGATGAAGTTCTCTGGGGTCATCGTTTTTTTCCTGTAATTTCCTTAGAAGAAGGATTTTTTAAAGTTGATTACTCCCAATTCCATGCAACATTTGAAGTCCCCACCCCACCTTACAGTGTGAAAGAGCAGGAGGAAATGCTTCTTATGTCATCCCCTTTAATAGCACCAGCCATAACTAACAGCAAAGAAAGACATAATTCTGTGGAATGCTTAGATGGACTAGATGACATTAGTACAAAACTTCCATCTAAGCTGCAGAAAATTACTGGAAGAGAAGACTTTCCCAAAAAACTCTTGAGGATGAGTTCTACAACTTCAGAAAAAGCCTACAGCTTGGGAGATTTGCCCATGAAACTTCAACGAATAAGTTCGGTTCCTGGCAACTCAGAAGAAAAACTGGTTTCTAAAACCACCAAGATGTTGTCTGATCCCATGAGCCAGTCTGTGGCTGATCTGCCACCAAAGCTTCAAAAGATGGCTGGAGGAGCAGCTAGAATGGAAGGGAATCTTCCAGCCAAATTAAGAAAAATGAACTCCGATCGCTTCACATAACAAAACACCCCCTTAGGCATTATTTAATGTTTGATTTAGTAATAGTCCAATATTTGGCTGATGAGGTAATCCTCCCTAAGGAATCTGAAGGTACATTTTTCTCCCAGTCCTATAAGCCTATTTGAGAACCTTTCCTTCTCAAACATCGCCTAATAGGCAGAAAACAAATGATTGAAGGGAGGATATTATAAGGAGGTTATTAATGGGCATGTATTATCACATCAAGCATGCAATAATGTGCAAATTTTGCATTTAGTTTTATGGCATGATTTATATATGGCATATTTATATTGTATATTCTGGAAAAATATATATATATATATATATTTAAAGGGAGGTATTCTCCCCAACATTTCTAACATATGTATTAAGCCAAACATGAGTGGATAGCTTTCAGGGCGATAAAACTACGTATATATGTGTGTGTGTGTGTATGTATACACACATATACATATACATATATACATACACACACATACATACATAAATATCTGATAAAATTGTGATGTTTTGTTCAAAGTTGTAGTTCTTGTGCATGTTTACTTTATTAGAATAGAGAGGCTACTGGCATTAATTATTAATACCAAATATTTTAGCCTTAAATTATTTGTCATTTAAAATCTGATTTATGTTTTCCGCTGTTAAGGTCCTGGGAGGTTTTCACTTGTATTTTCTATGAGAGTCACACAAGTTTGTGCTATTTATGGCCCTGCAAAAATATAACCATTGTATGTTTAACTTGTAAATTCTGGATCATACCAGTCATGGTATATCATTGAAAATTTTTTTATGATTTTTAAAAGTTGCTAGTACTGGGGGGAAATAAATGTTGATTAATTTGAGAGTTGGTCCTTTCCTGGATTAATTAAAATCTGGAAATTTGTTCTGTATACAATGTAATACAAATGTGAGCTCTGAACAAATGCTGAACCATTGTAATAGTCAGTGGCCAAGTTATATTGAATATATCGGAATCTGTGTGAAATTACATAATTAATGGTCCCTGTTTCAAACTTAGTCAATTGGAAACATTTTCATTCTTTTTCTGGAATTTTTGTCCATTTTGAAAAACCAATCATTTACCTTTCAGAAAACATGACGATACAATGAAACAGATGATAAATAATGATGCTTAAAATATGTATGTCTAACTGAGTCTCTTTTTTATTCTGTTTTCTTGTTTATGGCATTTGTTATAACAGGATAGACTCTTTCCTCACCTGGGGTACCTATCCTATGCTTGTCAGTTCAGGAGGATTGTTTTGAACAGACCTGAGAGAAATTAAAACTAGATGAATTGAAGATACTTAAAGCACAGTTGTTTTTGTTGAACACTGATTTTATTGGTGTCTTGGATCCCTGGCTTACCCAAATAATTTTTGCAGTGTGGTTTTCTAACCCCAAAGTCTGATATTTATGACTCATTTGCAGTAATCGAAAGTGATCAGTAGATGACCTTCAAAATAAAGATTTGGAATGACGAGATTTTTAAGAAAATTTAGAATGTTCTTTATCAGAATATTGTGTAGTTTCCTATAAAACTTCTTTGGGTGTTACCATCTAAGTCTGCCCAGAATTAAAATATTTCTCATTAATATGTAAATAATGAATCACTGGTTTGGGCTGCCATTATTTCCTGTTTTTTTTCAGAATCCTGTGATGATTTTATTATTGGCAAATTATTACATTCACAATTCTATCATTGACTATACTAATACCTTCTGGCTACCTCTGTATCAACCAAATTCTGTAGGTGCAAACATATACCAGGGAATTGTTACTGGCAAAATGATCAAACTGGAACATCCATCCACTGTGAAGAGAGTGGGCTGCCCTTCCCCTTGATTACCAAACTCTCTTACTTGCTAGATCTAGGAAGGAAAATAGTGACAGAGAGAGAAAGGGGTCCAGAGGGCATGGTATGTTTATTAGCAGTGGAAAGAGCTGCACAGATCATTTAGTCCAACAACTTAAAAATAAACAGAGCCATAATTTACTTTGGAGAATCATTTTAATTTGTCTTTGGTGCCAAGGAGAAGATGGAACCAAAAACAAACTCTCCGAACGTATTCACACGTTCAACACAATTTTTGCCTGCCTTCTATGTTGCAGGCATTTTTTAGTTCCTAGGGATTTGGATTTGACTAAGTCAGAGGAGGTCACTGCTCACCATGAACGCTGCATACCAGAAGGAGAGTGGGGAGGAGACAGATGAAAAAGAAATGAGTCCCTTTCAGGTAGTCAAAATATCAATTAAGAGAATGAAAATAGGGTAACGTGATGCAAAATGACTGTGGAGTAAGAATACATTATTTTAGAAAATATAACTGGCTTAGGGAGAGAGTGATATTTGAACAGAAACCTGAATGATGAGAAAGAGCTACTGTTGCCAAAATTAACTTGTCTGAGTGAATGGTATTTTTTTGTCTTTTCCGCATATGTGTGGGAAAGGTATGATTTCTGCATGTAATTGCAGTTTAACCCTTATTCCTAGGTTTATCATAGGTCCCAGGGGACCCAGAAATATTCCAGTTTATACCTGTTGTACCTGTGTAATTATTAGTGGCACTCCTTTTCATTCTTACAATGTCCTGGTTTGAATGATATATGGTGAAGCTTTTGTTGAAACTAAATTATAAAGTCTGATATATTTGGATAAAAATAAAGAATTGCTTTTCTTCTCCTTTTGCTGATTTTTCTGACACTGATCCTTAAAAGAAAAACCATCTCAGTTTCATATATTTCAGCCTGGAGGACTTCTTACTAAAATGACTTTATGTAATATTTGTTCAATATGTACATGACATGTCTCTCAGCAATGAAAATTATGCATTTTATTGAATAAATAAAAAAATAAACCTCTGCTATTTCCATTTCTGGAAGTTATAAGAGCTCAAATCAAAGAGACTGAACATCAATTTAAGCCAAGATAATTTTCACCCCACCGATATGGTGGCTATTGAAAACGAAAACATTATATGATCTTTGAACTGAATAACTTAACCACTGGAAACTAGTCCCTTTTTATAGGATTTTCATGACATAGCTCTTGTTATAGTGAAATATTTCATTCTATTTATCAAAATGATGTAAATAAAAGAAATACAATTATTTTGATAATATTTATCTTCAATTTAAATATTTATTCTTTTCAGCAATATGTGTATACACTTTTGTAAATATATACAAAATGAAAAATAAGGATATTTTATCATTAATTATTTCTGAAAACAATTCTTATGCTGTTTTAAATTCATCCATATATGGCTTAAAGTATTATAAAAAGTATTCAGTTGTGTCAGTATTCAAGAACCTTTTTGTCTGGACAGAATGGGCTCATAATGCACTATTTCTGTGGGAGGAAAACTGAGGTCATGGGAAGATGACTTACATTCTATTTGTATTATGAAAATTTTTGCCATTCCATATGATGAACAGGGTCCCACTTGACTGCACAGTATGTCTGTGAGCTCTACTTCAGAATTTACGCTTGAATTTCATTGTACATATTTAAATTAGTATCAAACTAATTGCATTTTCTGGCATGCAATCTATAATTATTTAAATGTACAAGGTCATTTAGATTACAAAAATATAAAATCATGTATTCAACACTGCAAGTTCAGTTTTATAAAAACCATATTAAACTTTTGAAACATGATTGGGTTTAATTTTTACAGTGTGCTCATCATTTTTCTACTTTTCAACAATTATTCACATTCCTTGATTCAGTTTCTTTATCATAAGACTCAATTACTGATAGACCCTGATTCAATCCCTCACAAGTCATTCCTTGAGAATTCCTATTATTTTGTCTCCTGATTGGTGAGCTGCTTGAACAGCATGGAACCTGAGCTTAATAATGCAGATACTTGAGACCTGCATTTCTTGGAGGAAGCTACGTGACCATCATATTCTTTGCTGGACTCTTGCTTTAAAAGCCACAGTAAGTAAAGCAGGCAAGTGCATAGTTTTCCTAATTTTGTTTAAATATCAAATCATCTTTTAATAAAGTGTTCGGTTGCTTCACCTGAAAGTATTTCATAGAATAATGTGTTTCTCATCTTGGATCAGATGAGTTCTATGATATGTAATGCGCCGAACTCCCAGGTACCTCACAGAATTCATTTAAAAAGCTAAGGCGCTGCAGCTTCTGGCCTGGTGCAGTTCAGAGAGAATGGTCCTCATCATTTAGTAAAATTGTTAGGTTTTTTTGTTTGTTTATTTTCCAAGTTGGGGATTTTTCTTTCCTTGTAAGGTTTTCTTGAAATCATGGCTGTTTCAGAATATCGGGGTAGTGTATGACCAGTGGATTCTGTAGATAAGAAATATGGTCGGGCCCATTATATCCTCCTTGCTTATTAAGAATCACATATGCACTCCCATTTATCCTTTCCCAGCTCTGGATGTGTCAGTCACTTGCATGTCAATCACATGTAAAAAGATATCCTGGGAGAACTTGAAACTCCAAACCTAACATCATGCAGCTATGGGTATCTTCTCTAAGATATCCAAGAAATTTTTTTTTTACCTGGCTTCTGGCTAATGAAATCACTGTGAAACTGAAGATTGTTTAACTCAGAATATTCACGCATTATCTAGATCCTCAGAACTTGCCACATTATTCAAATCCTCAGAACAACTGTGCATAGTAGAGATCATCCCCATTTTACACTTGAAGAAACTGATTCTCAAAGAGGCTGTTCAGTGTTTTGTTTTGTTTTTTTTCAATTAAATACACAAACATGAGATGTAGTCTCTGCCCCCGGGAGTCAAGAGTCTTAGGAGAACCTTTGTCTTTTACAACTGTGTATCCCAGGCAATTTGGATGCATAAATATAAATAGTCGACGACTGCATGCAATGGTTTCAAACCTGCAGGATGCCTCGTGCAATGGGCATCCTTGCTGTGATTTGGAGAAGTGGTGGGTGGAAGGTGACAGATGCATGAGGAGTAGCTGTGGTCAGCACTGTGAAGACAAGGACAAAGTAAAATGAAGGAAGTATGGAGGAAGGCGGAAACTTGAAGTGGTGCACAGAGAAATACGTGAATGGCAAAATGGTAAAATGAAAGCCAAACTAAAAATTCAGGAGTCCACTGGACACTTGAAAAAATAATTATTAATATAAAATATTTCAAATAAACAGAAAGTGTTCTCATATGGAGGTACCACAGACCTAGAGGTTAAAAAAAATGATACAGTAACATTTTGCTATATTTGTCTCATGAATTGCTAAAAAAATAAAGTGTGGTAGAAATAGCTAAAACAGGCATCTCTTGTTTTCTGAACCCTACACTATTCCAAGCCATCACTATCTGGAAATTTGTGTGAATGCTTCCCGTGAGCATGTGTGTGTGTTTATGTAAAAATGATATGTATACACATAAGCATATTTAAATATATTTATATAGAAATATTTCTTGTTATATAAATATAACTCAATATAACTATATATACACACCCTCGATAACTTTGCTTTTCTACCTTCTCTTGGATTTTGTATTTTTTTTGCCTTTTTAAAAATATTTCATGTCTATTATTTTAGTAACCCTTAATATTTAAGTTTGCATACATGACTCAATGAAATCTAAAGTTAATTAACATCTCTACTCTCCTTTGAAACAACATAAATATCTTAAAGCATGTTAAACCCAGCCACATCTTCTGTTGTCTGTGCTATTTTTATACAGTATTGTGTGTTTTTAATGTTCTAACAAACAATTGTTATTAAGTTAATGCATTTTTATATTTACCTATAAATTTACTGATTTCTTTGTTCACCATAACTTCTTGCATCTCATTCCTTCATTCTTCTTTCTCTTTTTCTCTTAATTAAGTATATATATCCCAATAGTTTTTTAGGCAAACATCTGTGGTGGAAAAGTCTCAGTTCTTGATCATCTGAAATATCTTTTTCTTTTTTTTTTTTTTACAATTGTCTTCTGGACTTTCATATTGATTAAAAGTCTATTATGTATCAAATTGTTGTATTTTGGGGGGAAGAGTATTTTCATCTTCTCTTTAATTTAAACATTCTTCAGTTTCACCATGATTTCATTAACCAGAAGCCAGGTTAAAACAAATTTCTTCCTGTAGGATATCTTGGATAAGATACCCATAACTGCATGATGTTAAGTTT